GTTCAGCATCATAAGCGCTTCCGCTCTACACAAAACTAGCTGAGAAAACACAGATACGTAAACAGTTCAAACCGGGGTTCTGTTTTTCAGTAAAGGTTTCGACTAATACGAGGATGGTCTTTAACCTGAGGCGAGAAGTTGGCTCCAGACAAGATAGCAGCATCAACTTCCTTCAACACAGTTCTCCAGTTACTATGCCCTCTGGCATCTGCACATTTGCTCAAGTGTTTGTCTATTGCCTGAAGATTTTGCACCTCTGAAGGATCCAATCGAAACCCGGGAAGACGAAAGTGTTTGTCGGCTTCTTCAACTTGGCCAATCCTACAAACAAAGTATGTACAAATCTGTCAATACCCTTTTGAAGCGATGAGCTAATGCAGAGTGATACATTAGAAATATTTACGGTTAACTGCATTCAAATCTTACAAGATTCTGTCAAAGAACCTTACAAGATTTATGGTTACGCGGCTGATAAACTTGATCATCCTTAATCAAGATTCGACATTCATGGAGTATACATTGTGAAAACACAGAATAGCAGCACTCACCGGATGAACAATGAGGCCAGACGCTGGTGAGCTCTTCCGTGGTTAGGATTAAATCTCAGAGCTTCTTCACAGCCTTTAATGGCTTCCCCTATCCGATTCAAACCCATCAATGCCGCCGCCCTATTGCTCATGTAAGACACGTTTCTCGGCGATAATTCTATTGCTCTGTCGTATAATCTCAACGCATCGGCAAAGTTACCCTTCTTGTACACTTCGTTCCCTATCCTATTCACTTCCACCGGATCAGCACTCGACATTGCGGCGGCAATCTCTCTCGGAGATCCTCCATCGCTGCCGCTCCGTTTTATGGTGCCTCGCACTACGCTTCCGTATCCGTAAACGCCCGTCCCAGATCCGATGATGTCTCTTCTTGTTCTCGGGGTCGCCGGCATGGTTGCTTTCAACCTTTGTGCCAGCTGCGAAATGTTTCCGGAAGGACGGAAGATAATCCCCGCCGGTGATGCGGCAGAAGAGCTTTGCCCCGAATTGTTACGCGGCTGAGTCGTGCCCGAGCCCGATCCTGTCTGACTCGCTCTGGGCCTCGGAGCCGCGGTCTTTGGGCTGCTCCCGCTCGCGGTCTTTGAACTGCTCCCAGCCGAGTTTGATCCTGCCTGACTCGCTCTGGGACTCGGAGTCGCGGTCGTTGGGATGCTCCCGCTCGACCCAGATGGATCGCCGGACTGAGTGCTCCGACCCGACTCAGGCCTTCTGTTGGCCGAGCGGGGTCCGAGCCTACTCGATACAGAACCCGAGGAGCTGGAACTGCTCGTACTGGTGTTGGTGGTCGTGGCGGGGCGGCCCCTTCGGTTTACGGGAATCGGGCTTTTTTACGTCGGGACTCGCTGAGTCACGGCGACGATCCGGGGGACCGTCGGAGGAGGCAGAATCTTTAGTGGGTTTCTTCGACATTTTCTCAAAATGGGAAGAAACCCAAAAAAGAGTCGATGAATCTCTCTCCTCTACTTAGGGTTTTGCTCCGGCAAGAAAGAAGCAGCAATGTCCTCCAATGGTGGAGGAATGGAACAACGACGGCGAAGTGCGAATTCGAAGAAGACGACAGAGAGAGGCCAATGCATCGACGGAGAGAGATTGGGACCTCGTGAATTTAGAGGAGAAGGCAAAACATGAATGTGAGTTCCTAGAGAGATAAAGTGGGTTTATCAGAGAGAGAAGGTTCACAGAACAGAAAGAGCAAAAGCGGGAGAAGAAGACGAACGACGAAATGCAAATTAAAAAAAAATAAATCTAATGATAATTTTTTCCCAAATTATTAGTAATATTTATATTTTATAACAGAATACGAAAAACTCGAAAAACAGTTACTCTGAATAAACTATTAAAAGAACGGTAAATTTACCATTTACATGCGTAGATAATCAACATCTTTCTAAATAAAAAACTGATAGGCATCGATTTATATGTATAATTATGTTGGTTATAACCTCTAATTTTACCAAATAATTTCAATATTTTATAATTTTATTGATATCATAATAGATTTAAAACTTTGTCCATATATATATATATATGGTTAGAAATGTCTGAAATAATATCCGGTTTACCTATTTTTTATATCTAAATAAAAAAATCAACTAAAATGAATACTTTAAGAATGGGGTTATCAATAATAATAATAATTTATTAAACTGTTGAAGGATAAAGTTTATATGTTTCTTGTTACTTGTTTCATTTTTAATGTATATTTTTTAACTATTAAAAATATTTTCAAATCAGAAAGAATAAAACTTACAAGAAGGAAGAAAAAAAAACCTGTCTTCGCGTTCCGTACGGCTGCATTCGATTTTGTACTTTGGTGCATAATCCCAAGGCCCACTCGCATCTCGTGGGAAATGACATCCACGCCCCTTAAATATGCACTAATTGTGAAAATCCAATGTAAAATATGTGCTATTAGACATATAAACTCTAAAAATCTATAAAAAAATATTCATTAAATGAATGATGACTATTCTTTTATGATAGTCTCTTGTCTACGCAATGATTAACATGATAATATCTTATCATTTCTTTCCAATATTCCGACTCTATGTTATTATTTTATATAAAATTCAGTCAATCATCAGAGTTGTTAAATATTTTAATATTTTATATATTTACCATATTATTTTATATTTTAAATATATTTATATGTTTAATTAATATTTAAAACAGTTTTTATGTATTTTATAATATTTTCAAAATTAATATATCTAATTGATGCATTTGATATATTTAATATATTTATACGAAATTCATATATTTAAATATTTTCTCATATTTTTCGGAAAATATTACTTGATATGTGTATTTTGGAATAAAGGAGATGGAGGGAGATTTTTTTTTTTTAAAAAAAAACAAACCATTCAGCATTTAACGAGAAATCTTTCTTTCTATCTCCGAATAATTTAATTGGCATGTAGGAAAACAAAAAATGAGGATGTAATTAAATAAGTATTAAAGTTTTTTTTTTTATATTGTTCACTTATAGTTATTGATAACGAAAAAAAAACAAATGCAAATGCTCTGAAATCCGACATGATTATTGAAAATGGCATAGTTGATTAATAAATTACTAAAGAGTCCGTTTTTAAAATCTTATATTTAATTAGTATTTTAAGGAGGCTAGTCAACAAATGCTCTGAAATCACATATCACATCATAGATTTCCTTGGAGTTCGGACCCTTGCAATTGGCTTCTTTCGCACGGTAGATTTCCTCCTCCATTTCCCAATACGGTTGTTTGGTGTATGTTAATTATTTAAATTAAATTATGTAAATTATCATTAATTTTATATGCATATTCCATTAAACAAAGCTGATTGTTTAATTATGACTACCTTCGAACTAATCTTCACTTTACAAGTAAAAGAACAATACTAATGTCGAAATATTGTTGTGTGTAAACATGCACGGATTAACTAATTTCACACACACACACACACATATATATATATATATATATATATATAACACCAACAATTATGTATACAATATGATACGCATTTTATATATAGTATATCATTGATGTAACGTATAAAGCATATAATATGAGAATAATTTCCATGCAAATATCTATTGTGCTCGGATTTTTACCATAACGAATCCATAAATGAGAACCCTTACTTGTTTGAGCATGTTATGATAACAATATCTAATATAATAGTACAAAAATAAAAAGTTTAGACGTGATAACCAATTTAACATAGAAAGCCTCTTTGGTGTGGGGAATAAAAACCACGAGACCGTAGTCTAAAAATATATCCACTATAATATTTAAAATTTTAGGTTACAATGTCCACACTACATTCGCTAATAGACAAGAGATACAACACCGAGATTTCTGAATATTAACTCAATATTCAAACCTCAATAAATCCAGAAGAGCAAAATATAACTTAAATAGCAAGATAACCCCATAATTTATGATTCCGACAACCAAATTCTAATCTCTTCATAGCAATCAAAAGCTCAAAAGGTCAAGAATAAACATACCAAATTTCAGTACAAAAGGAGAAGATATGACCATCCGAATTTGTAGACCACTCGTACATATGTGGATGGATCCTCAATGATGAACAATTTTGATAAAACCTTTGTTTCTCTAATTTTTGAACGTTAAGATCACAAATCCCACTGGACAATCTAGAAAAATGAGTGTAGAAACTCTCCTCTCAATTTTAGATTGATCGAAAAAGAAATGGGCATCCGATCGGACGTTTGATCACAACTGTACAAAATTATTTTTTTCACTCTTTCTTTGCTTTCTTTCTTTCTTTCTTTCTTTCTTTTTCTCTTTCTTGGATGATAAAACTACAACTCAAACTCCTCTATTTATAACTCTTGATCAATTCAATTTTAAACAAAATATTCAATTATGAATTATATTCATAATAATGGTGTTTTCCACCATTACCATTTTTTCCACCTAATATAAGGTTGTATTTCCACCAAATGCAATGATGGTGGCTTTACAACCATTAACACTTACGAGGAAAGAAATTGCCTGGCAGTGCCAACAGCGTGAGCAATATCTGGTATCGTATAGTCCATAACATACATCAAACTCTCGACTAAAGAGGTGTATGGAATATTGGGTTTCTTGGGATCTCACAATCACACAGGGATCCGAGTTCTAGAGTTCAAGCAACGAAAGGTAAATCAAAAAATTTCTAATAACACTAGAGCAAAAACGTGCATATTATAGTTGTAATTCTCAGGAAAGAATATACTAACCTGGAATCTCCGGGATTCTTCGCCAAGCGATTTGGAGCATGTTATTGCTTTAAATTTTGTTGACATCACTAGGTGTGCCAATACCTTCTTCAGGTATCCACACATCGGGATAAAATCCAACATTTGGATCTTGTCTGCTAGGACGATTGAGAATGGATTCTCTAATGTGTGCTCGGGATTCTAAGAGGCTTAGGGTTCTTTTCAAGACTTAGAATATAATTCTAAACTGAATTGAAGCATGTTAAAAGGATCATATAGGACTATCACTACTCTATTAGTTTACCACTAAATCTATCAATGTGGGGGTTGCAGTGTCTTGCTGGAGACAGCTACAATCAGTGAGTCGAAATGGTGTTTTGAGATCACGACCACATTGAATGAGCCTACAAAGTCACACACGAAGGGTTGGAACATAAAGAACGACAAAACGAAGTCTCAAACAAAATGTTTGTTGAACTCGGTCGAGTAAATATAACTCGTCCGAATTTGATCGAATTCGGTTGAATTAATGTAATTTAACCTAAACATAAAACAGTGTGGGAATTCGGTCGAATTAGTGTAATTCGGTCGAACGGTTAATAGTGACTATGAATAGTACATGTGAATAGTGTTGATGAATAGTAACTAAGCAAAAATCTCTCATTGAAAATTCTACCCATTTTCAAAGGTTTTAAACTCTATATAAAGGGAGGTGAACCAAAGACTTCAATACGCCAAATCCTAAGTCCTATAAGGGATCTAGTGAGTTTTAAAGTCTAAAACGACCATAAACTCTTGAGAACCTCTTCAGGCTAGCGACTGATTTTAGGACCTAGCAGGCTAGATCCAATTGTTAGATCGAACTCGCGGTGTGGATACCATAAAGGTCGTTATCCTTTGTGATGACACTCAGTGGTTGTTTCGCCCATCACTATTAGGCTCCTTCTCACCTTTGAGGTCAGTATCTCTTCCGAGATCTTTTATCGTTCGCTATTGTTTATTATTATATATTGCTGGATTTGAGTTTATTTGATAGATTCAAAATGGGCCTAGCCTGTAAGAAGTCCAGTCCATAGAAGGTTCTAGAAACCTTGATGAAAAAACTGCAGATTAATGAGAGAATATTCTTGATTAATTGCAAAATCAAATTGTAATAAAATCTATAGAAAATCCATTGATTATGGTAAGTATCAAAAAAAATAATATCAAATTCGAATATGATTGATTCTACACATTAATGTGAGATGCTCCCCCCACTAGTATAAATAGAGGTGTTGGTTAGATCATTTTACACACAACAAGAAAACAAAGCATTTCTTAAGAGGAAAAATAGCATTTGCATTTCTACTCATATCTCTCTCTGAATTCGCTTGGTATTCAGGAAAACTTCTCCCGAATACGAGATCATTATATCATGGGAGTTCACCGTGCTCCAATAACCTCGAAGCTTTAGAGGTGGCACGGAAATCGAATTTGAGAAAACTGTGTTTCATAGGCCTCGACAATAATCATTTGTTGTAGGTACTTATCGAAATCGTTCGAATTGCCGAAGTTTTGCCATCGTCAATAACCGTCATCCCCAACACATA